ATGCAGCATACCACGTGGTAGGAGAAGATAATTCATACAAGACAGATGTTTCAGACACTCAACTTAGCATTAGGGTCTTAACAACTTTTACACAGTTTTTACTTAATACTATTTTATTAATATTTAAGAGTTTATCTTCCAATTGTTGTTTACTTTGAGGATTTATGCCCAAACAAGTAAGCCAATTTACTCTTAGCTGGAATTAACTTTGCCATCTCAAAAACTGTGAAAACAGTTCAAGGAAAAAAGGAAATTTGGCATTGCAAAATGTGTCCTCTATTTCTAAGTCCTCACATAGGCAGACATGAGTGCTTCAGGAAGAAAATCTTCCCAGTGTATGGTTCAGGTTAATAGCAGGTAGCAAGACTTCTGGGGAATAGCCACCTGGCCATGTGGTGGGAGAAGATAATTTTGTATAAATTGATGATTCACAGATCTAATTTCAAATTAAGGATTTAGTGCCTTATACATTGTAAATAATACACAGTATTGATATTAATATAGAATACATAGTAATATATAAGTAATACTTAGTAATACATTTGTAAGATGCACTAAAAATTTTATTAAGATTTAAAACTTAATCTTGTCACTTACTTTATAGAATAATGCCCAAATGAGTCAATTTATTCTTACTGGGAAATAGTTATATGAAACTTAGAAAAACAATTTGAGACAGAATGAGGAGATTCGAGATTGCAAAATATATGGTGCCCAAGGTAACATTGGACTATATTTACAGGAGTTCCATAGATTCAAGCTTGGTGCAGAGTCAAGAAAATAAGTCTTAAATTCCAAGGAATTATGTGGCTTTGACATTGATCATCCATAGGTATCATTATAGAACAAAACCAGAGGCGGCTCAGTGGTAGAGTGCTTGCCTAGCACATGTGAGGCACTGGGTTTGATCCTCAGCACTACCTAAAAATAGATAAACAAACAAATAAATAAATGTTTTGTGTCCATCTACTACCAAAAATATCCTTAAAAAAATAAAAGAACAAAACCAGAAGATTCTATTTAAATGTCATGAACTTTGCTAGATCCATAGGACACTTACAAAACTTGTAGAATGTGAAAGGGGAAAAAAGTTTCAAAAATGCCTAAAGTTAAACTTCCCATCCAAATGGGGGCTAGGAACAGTTTAACTTATTAAAATAAATGCGGCATTTCTTTGTCCTATGTTACAGAAGTAATGACCCTGAAACTAATCTTATAAGAGAGAGGGAATAAAATCACACACCTTATCTCCCAGACATGACAATGGTTACATTTCATTGTTTGTCATTTTGATTTTATGTTCTATGTTTATAGATATAATTTTAATAGGATTACACACCACTTCATAATCTCTAAATTTTTCCTATGCACAGCACATCGGAAGTATCTTTCTATGATAATAAGGTATTTTATTGGCTGTATAACATTACAATATATAAGAAGACTATAAAAAAGAATTTCTTTTTTTAGTAACAGGGATTGAACCCAGGGGCACTCAACCACTGAGCCACATCTCCATCCCCTTTTATTTTTTCATTGTGAGCCAGGGTCTCACTAAGTTGCCAAGACCAGTCTCAAACTTGGATCCTCATACCTCAGCCTCCAGAGCCACTGGGATTACAGGTGTGTGCCACCATGTTCTGCCAAGAATAACTTAGTTGAAGATTTTATGTCGTGTCCAGCTTTTGCTTTTCATCACTATGACCAAAATACCTAACAAGACTACTTAGGGAAGAGAAAGTTTTAGACTCATGATTTCAGAGTTCTCAATCCATGGTCAGCCAACCCCAATGCTCTATGGGTGAGGCAGAAAAATCATGGCGGAAAGGCACTGCAGAGGAAAGCTGTTCAGCTCATGGCAGCTGGGGAACAGAATGAGAGAGGAGAGAGAGAGAGGTTGGGGGAGGGGGGAAGAGGGGGGAAGGAAGGGGGAAGAAAGGACAGGAGGAGAGGGGGCAGAGGAAGAGGGGGAAAGGACCAGAAACAAGATGTAATCTCTAAGGTCGTGCCCCCAGTGACCTACTTTCACCAGCCATGCCCACTGGCCTGTAGTTACTACCATCCAGTAATTCATTCAGCAGTCAGTGGATTAATCCACTTGATGAGGTCAGAGCCCTAATCATTTCCCAAGAATTTCACCTCTGAACCTTGCTGTATTGGGGAATTAAGTATTCAAAATATGAGCTTTTGGGGGGACATTCCAGATCCATACCATAGTAACGACTTAAAGTAAATTTAGCCACCTTTGCTATTTTGTATAAATAGGATTTTTTTTTTTTTTTTTTTTCTGAGGATTGAACGCAGGGGCACTTAACCAAATTAACTGAGGCACATCTCCAGCCCTATTTTGTATTTTACTTAGAGACAGGGTTTTACTGAGTTGCTTAAGGCCTCACCAAGTTGCTAAGGCTGGCTTGAACATTCTCCTGCCTCAGCCTCCCTAGCCATTGTGATTACAGCTGTGCATCACCGTTCCAGTCCAAGTATGATTTAATCTAATAAAAATGGTTTAACTTTACTCTCAGATAAGTAAGGCATGAAGAAGAAAGCAAGTTTAAGTTTCTAGAAACTGTTCTTGATATGCTAATGGGAGATATTAACATTTTACTGTTCTCTAGGTTGGTACTAAACAAACAAACCTTCTTAAGCCTACTTTAAATAGAGATGGCATCACATTTTCCTGTTACCAAAGCTAATGCAAAATTAACTCATTAGGAATAAAATTAAGGGGCTGGGGATGTGGCTCAAGCAGTAGTGCACTCACCTGGCATGCGTGTGGCCCAGGTTCAATCCTCAGCACCACATACAAACAAAGATGTTGTGTCTGCTGAAAACTAAAAAATAAATTTAAAAAATAAAAGAATAAGATTAAGAACTTATTACTCATTGACTTTTCTCATCCCCTATGACTTTCTTCACTTTTATTTGTAAAAATAAAAAATGTAATGCCTAGTATACAAAACAAATATTTTCAGAGATAATCTTGTTATTATATAAGTGATATTTATATATTTTGTACTATATACTTTATTATATAAATAGTTTCGATCTATTTTATTTTGTGTGTATGTTCCTTAGAAAAATACCACAAGTTAGGGAAGTCTTAAAATAAAGAATGTTTTCAGTTTCTGTTCCTATTCTGAGGCCACTTCTCAATATTTATATAAAATCATGATGACTTATAAGAATGGTCATCAAGGTATTAGCTGGAGTGTTTACAAATCTGGTGGCCATCACACACAGGGACATTGATAAATATCTGTCCTCCCCCACTGAATGACTAATTAATACTCCTTCCTCATTGAGAGATGAATGTCTGTCAATCCTGAAGGGTATACCTATGGAATTAAGGTACTGCTGGGAGCCATTAGCCAAGTAGGTATGACAATTTCCTTGCCAGTGTACCCCATGTTGCAGTGACATTGAATGTAGGTGACCTTGCTCAAGGACCAGGGCGGATTAGGGTGTTCCCGGTTTAGGATAATCGGGTTTAAGGCGTTCCAGGTTTAAGATTATTCCTGCTGGGAATAGGGCGTATCCTGCTGCCTGAGTTCCCCTTGAGTTCTCACGGAATTCAGACAGTATATTTTTGGGAGATAGAAGCCCAGTGGAGTGGATTTTGGGCAGAGAACGTGGATTTCCCCAGAACGTGATTGTAGACGGCTGGTGTAAGTTCGGGAATAAAGAGTTGCTGTTTGAATCTACAAACTGTGTGGTGGCTCGTGATTGTGTGCCCAGCCAGACTGCGGCATTTGTGCCCAGCCAGACTGTGGCAAGGTACATTTTAAACTCCAAGTGACCTTGGACATGCTTGGTTCACAGGTAAAGGCAATACCTGTTTTCATACTGTTTCTGTTATAGGTAGAGCTGAGTTTACAAAACTCAGTCCCAGAGCTACTGTTGAAGTGACAAAATGTCATAGGTTTGTACTAGTAAGAGGGGAAATCACATAAATGATAATGTTATTAACTGTCCTTTCAAGGAAATTAGAAGGTTTACCGTTTATTGTGAGATTATGCCCTTCTCAAACTTTGGTGTTCAAATGGCATTCATATTTTTATTGGGGTGGTTGTTCATTTGTTTGTTTTTGGTGAAAGGGAGAGAAAAGAGATTTCCTGAACCATAATCTCCAAAAGTCTGGGGACTGTGGTTTCAAACATTTTCAGAAGGTCAAACTATTCCAGCAATACAAACATTTGCAATCTCATACCACATGAAATCAAGAAGGAAGAATTTACCAGGTGTGATGCCACATGCCTCTCTGCCCTCCAGAGACTCCATCCTTTCTAGTTACTTCATCCAGAGGTTCTTCATTTCCTTTGAAATGCCACCTATTCTCTTCCACATGGTCTCAAAATACCTGGCCCTGGATCTGACCCCACTCAGTCTCACCTTTTCCTTTACTCCAAAGCAACAGTGGAACTTCTTTTAATTTTAAGAATGCACCATATACTTCAGGTTGCACACTCTTCATATATATTCTATTCCTTTCCCAACACTCTATCTTGCTGACACCTACTTAATTTTCAATTTTCACTTTGAAGGTTTCTTCCTTATAAACCTGACCTGGTGGCACGCGCTATAATTCCAGATACTTGAAAGACAGAGGCAAGAGGATTGGAGTTCTAGGCCAGCCTGGGCAATTCAGGGAGATTCCTCTTAAAAAAAAAAAAAAAAAAAAAAAAAGAGCTGGGGCTGGAGCTCAGTGGTGTAGAGCTTACCTATCATGCACAAGGCCTTGGGCTCTACCCCAGTACAAAATTTCTTCCTTCTAAAAGATTTTCCAGGTCAATATCCTCCTTTCTCTGCCCCAAACTTCTCTCCTTAATCACCTGTCTTAATATTACTAACTATAAACTCTGAGAGGACAGGGACTATTTTGTGTTGCATTATGCAGTCAATGGCTAGCATGAGGTGTATTAGTCAGGGTTCTCTAGAGGAACAGAAACAGCACCAACAAGAACTATAATTATAAAACCCTTTCTATAATTTTATATTAGGTTGGCTTACACCACCAGAAGCTGGATAATCCACAATGGCGGTCTGCAGGCTGGAGAGCTTCAAGAATCAGTAGCTGCGCAGTCCAAGAGGCTGAAGCCCCAGAACTAGAGGGATCAGCGGTGCTACCTTAGTCTGAGACTGAAGGCCTCTGGAAACTCCCTGGAGAATCACTGGCAGAGTCCAAAGCTTTGGAAGCCTGAAGAAGCAAGAGTCTGATATCCTCAGACCATGGCAGCAGCAATCATGAACCCCTTCAAGAAAAACTAAACTTGCACCTGTTGTTTGCTTCCGTGTTCTTTCAACTATTATTCCATCCACACCATCAGCTATTGGATGGTGCCACCAGTGCTTAGGGAGGCTCTCCATTTCAGTTGGCTATCCCATATGCCAATCATTCCTAGATGCACCCTCACTGACATGTGTGAAAGCCTTGGCATCTGGTAATCCAGTCAAGTTGACCATTCAAATTAACCATTACATGAGGCCTCCATGTGTTAATAATTGGTTTTCAAACAATAGTTTAAAATGAATGAATTCCTTCTACTTAGCATTCCAAGCCCTCTTATTATATTTTTATTCTAGCTATTGGACTCAACAACTCATTTCAACTAATTCCAGACACAATGTAATAGGTCAACATCCCAACTTCCAAGGATCCACTGCTCTGCTTTTAACCTAACAGTGTTTTCCTTAATGCTGCTTCTTGGTGCTGCCAAATCATACTTCCTAAATCTGTTTAACCCTGTCTTTTAAAAGATAAGGCATCACTCTTACATTCTGATCATAATTTAATGAAAACTGATCAGAAACAAACCTGAACTGGAAGGTTGAACTGTCTTCAATCTTCAAACTGTCTTCAGGACAGCAGGCTTCTTTCCCATTCCTGAAAGGCAAGTCATAGGGAAATGCCTGAAATTAGGATAAACAGAAGATGCATTTTATCAGATGGCTGCTCAAGAGGAAACCACAATAACAAACATATCTATCTCATCCTAAGCAATAATAATAAAGAAAAAAAAAGGAAAGGAAATAAAATTCAGGTGGTTATGTTGAGCAATGCTCACTGAATTCAAGAATAGCCACAAACATTTCCAGGACTTGGAAGCCAAAAAAGAATGCACTTTGTGTGTACCAAATCCTGGAGAGATTTCTAATTATATTCTTGTTTTGTGAACATATTTGTATATTCAGATAATGATAATTTTCTGTTGAGAGCCACAGCCGAGTCGGAATGGCCCCTGGCATTTTGCCAGAAGTAATGGTTGAGAGGTGAGCCATTAAGATGATGCTGGATTGGTTCTATTGTATATAGATCCCTGCTGTCTGCCTACTTTGGAGTTCTCGAGGGGATTTCCTGGGGAGTTCGAGTTGGTTGGTGAAGTTCCAGTGGAGGGAGTTCCAGTTGGTGTGGTGTGCCTAGGAGGGCTGCGGGAGTTCGGAAAATAAAGTTAGTTCCTGCTTGAGTGGCTCATGATTTGTGCCCAGCCAGACTGCGGCAATTTTCAGAGCCATTCTTTTGAAATAAAAAGAGAAAAAAAGGGAGGGATAGTTAAAGAAAGGAAACAGCTCTGATTCACAAGAATCTTATAATTTAAAGAGAGTGACCCTCAAAATTACCTAAGAAAACTCTTCACCTGTTCTTAGGTGCTCCTAAAGTTCATAGGTTTTTAATCCCAAAGTTATGTTTGAGTGAACCCTCTTTGTTATCAGTATTTAATAAAGCTTTAAGATCTCTCACTTTTTTCCTACTCAATATTTCCAAAATTATTTTTTCTTTCTTTTCTATTTCTAGGGCCACCACCCCGCTTCTTCATATAGCTCCACGACTGGAGGGTCGTCATCAACTCCTAACGGGTCTCCCTGTAATTCAAGCCTTTACTGAGTAGCCAATATAGTGGAGAAAATCACCTCAAGGATCATTTCCATCATAACATATGTATCCTATCAGTCAAAAACTTAACTGGCTCTTCAGTTGCCTATTGAACTCAACAAACAAACAAACAAAAAATCATAGCAATCAGGAACCACCTGCTATAGGGTAGGAAATTTTTTCTCCTTGCAGACACATCTATGGACCCATCACCATCCACTGTTAACTTAGGCAAACTGGAGAGGACATATAAGAAACCAACATGTTTCCCAGCCTCGCCCATCACTACATGTTTGGCCTTGCTGCCACTCTTAACTGATTTTGAGTGGCAATTTATTCGTCTCTAAGGTAGATGATTTCACTCCATACCACGTTGACTTTACATGGCCATAATGCATGTAAAGTACCTGGCAGGAATCAGACATACTCATACATCTTAACTACTGTTATTTTATATACTTCACAAAGGATTTGAGTAAGCCACATCATCTACTTACTCTTTCATTTGTGTAATCAATCAATAAACTAATCCTTTATGTACTGAGCACTTGCTCATGCTAGATACTATGTAAGTTACTCGGGAATTAAAGACAATAAGACTTAGTCCCTCACCCTGAACACCCTCACATGATAGTAACATGTGACCACATAAACATAAAGCCATGTGACTGTGCTGTGTATTTGGGGTCCTCTGAGTGGGGATTCTTAAACTCTGTCAAGGAAGACAGTTAATTTTATTTCAATCAATAGGCAAAGATGAGCTGGGCTTGGTGGCACACAACTGTAGTCCCAGTGGTTGGGGAGGCTGAGGCAGGAAGATGGCATGTTCAAGGCCAGCCTCAGCAATGGCAAGGCACTAAGCAACTCAGTGAGAGCCTATCTCTAAATAAAATACAAAATAGGGTTGGGGATGTGGCTCAGTGGTCGAGTGCCCCTCAATTCAAAACTGTTGGGAGTCATCCCGGCTGCAAAGACTAACTTCCCCATTTCCCCAAGAAGAGCTGTCCAATGGTGAGCCCTGTTGACTCACATGATCCTTACCCACCAATCAGAAAGCACCCCGTGCCAACTGTCAAACTGTTAAACTGTCATAACTGTCAAACTGCCCCCATCTCCATAAATATGCAGAGCTGTTCCTCAATTAACGGACATTTTCTCCTATGATGAACCTTGTTCGTTCTTTCAAAAACCCGGTACCAAAATATAAAAATAAAAAAGATAAGCAAAGATGAAGCAAAGAGAGGAAACAGCAGACTATCAGGGGTAGACAAGCGGATTACTGTAATAATAATTATAACGATTATGATTATAAAAGTCTGCACCAGAAAACATGGCCTCAGTTCCAAGCTAACTTCTGGTTATCTTACTTTCAGCAAACTGTAGTAAATTCTAGCTGCTCAGTTTATCTATGACTGAATCCCACAGCTATGCCCACCCCTGGGCCCGTACCCTTCCCTCTGAGCTTTTCTCTCCTTCTGACCACCTCAGATTGTGGCTTACGTTCCTGAGGCCCTTCCTCATGGGCTCCTTACCCATCTGGCTCTTGACCACAGTGGCCTCCCAGGGTTTCGAATTTTGTCTACCTCCTAGGAATTGCTCCACCAGACTATGATCTTCCCAAACACACATCCCTGGCTATATAACTGTAGGTCTTACTTTAAATGTCACCTCAGAGAACCTTTCCCTCCCGGCCTCTTTTCCCCACCCCCCAAATTTACAAGAACAACTCACCCCCTCTCTCTTCCCTATTATTCACTTTCACTCTCTACATTGAAGTTACCTGATAATTTTCTCATTTGCGTATGTATTTCTGTGTCGCCTGTTTGTGTTTTACTTCTTCCACTGGTTTAGGACCTCAACTGATTTGTTCCCTGTGGCATCTGCAGGGCCCAGAACATTTTTGTGGAACATAATAAGTAAGCAACAGAATAATGAATGAAAAACTGAAAACTTTCAACAGCTGCCAGCAGACTTCTGATCATACATTCCTGCTCCCTAGACTTAGAGCCGATGGATTCCTGTTTTCAGTAGACTGCTAGTTTTAAAATCTCAAGACCTACTTACGTGGCTGCCACATGAGTTCCTAGGAGCCACATAAGCCTATATAGCTCAAGGTCACCCACTGTCTTCCATATTCCAACGTTTAACTCATCTTATTCATCAGCAGTGTCACTTGCTTATTTTTAGCTAACATTTGATTGTCACCCTTCAACCAGAGCTACTAATAATCACCCTTGTTTCTTAATATGGGCCACCACCTAGACTTATCTATAGGATTAGACTGTATTTCCAGCATGGCTTTGAGGTTCTTGTTTAAAACTCCCCTACACTCAAAGTCTTTTCTAGTCACCTTCAAATGAGAGTGCTCTGTGATGGTGTCCTTTGCCAATTTATTCAAGCTGTGCCAAATTGAAATTCTAACATTTTTTAATGTTAATCAAGTTTTTAAATTTATAGACCATATGTACTTAACATTTTTTTAATGTTACAAAAAACATATGTATTTGTTTTCCCTGTTTTGCATGTACTTTAAGCTAGATATTATCATTTATGTTTTTAATCTTTATCGTTAATCTTCTGTTACAATTTTATATCTTCTCAGAAAAGTAAAAATCTTCAAATAAAATATATCCTGGTTATTAGTGACACTATGCAATGTTGTTGTGTGTGATTGACTATTTAGCGTGGCTACATTTCACCAAATCCTAACCTATTTACCTTTCACCTCAATGTTTTATCGGTCACCATCACTTCTTTTCTCTCCACCAGTCAAGACAATGAGCCCCTCGAGGGCAGAAGCCACGTCTTATTCAACTGTGAATCCCGAGTAGACCCCATTTTGCTTGGCATCCAGCAAGTTTTTAGGAAAACCTGACTGAAGACCTAAATCAACTATCTGCATTTCCCAAGGTGTTATGGAGCACAGTTGAGCACTCATACTCCACCAACAGCCTAAATCGTCACACTGATGTGCCGTTTCTTTTCATTGGTTTCATGGAGCTTCCAGAGTTCAACTGTGCTTGCTCAATGAGTCAGGTGCAAATGGCTCTGCCTGGGGGCTCCCTGCTCTAGTACCAAACATAAAGGATCACGTGCTTTTCTCGACTTTCTTACAGAATGTGCCTTCTTTCTTCAGTGGGTAGGAAATTAGAAAGTATTTTCGGTACTTTTTCAACTTACATAGATTAAAGACTTGTAAGCTATTCTATTTTGCATAACAAGATAAAAAGAATTGGTGTATATTTGCAGTAAAGCATAAAAGGGGCAAAAACTACATTACTGAGCAGGATGGCAAACCAGCCATGAGGAGGAACAAAGGGAGAAAGAATCAAAGGATGGGCTCAGCTCTAGCACACAGGAGGCAGAACACGAGTAAAGGTAGGGATCCAAGTCAGAAATTAGTTCTCTCTCTCAC